GTCTCCCTCGCTCCCTTTCCACCAGCTCCGTGTTTAGCCTATAAGAAGACCCTAAGACTTGTTGCTTTATGTACAAACCTGCGTTTCCAGAAAACATTGTGTTCATCCAATCAGTTGTCGTAGTTCGGACCTCGCGCAAACGAGATGAAACCAAGCGTTTCGGCAACGAAATACATGTTCAGTGGGTGACCGATCTCATGGAATGTTAGGCGAAATCCCTAAATGCGTTTCCGATTAGGAAGGATTACGTAGGTGGGGTTCCAATACATATTATTTTTCAGCATAATCCTATAATATTTCAGACTCGACAGGATGTCTGCTTTTGAATACAAATCTTTTCAATCGCCTGTAGAAACCGTACTCGGTAAAAAAAAATGACTACTTATGTAGCATGCAATTTTCACAATGATTTGAGATGGTCTTATAAATTCTAATATATTTTATAGAAAACGGGCACAAAATAGGCTTTCTTCTACTCGTTTGCTAGAAAATCACATTTTCTTTAAATTTTGTACCATAAGAAAGGATACCTTTAGGTCTTTAAAAAGTTTCTAATTATGGGATTTTTAAGACCGTTAGATGTCCAATCATACACCAACGTACCTCTTCGTTTACCAATGCTCCTCATGAAATGTACAACATATTAGGCATCCATTGCAAAATTTTATGAACTCTATATGGAATCTCCTCAAATTCATGGAGGAATATATAATTTTCCTCTCGCGGAAAACAAGCACCATGTAGGCTGAAATAGCTAAACACTAATGCAACAGCTGATCAGGCTCAAAATTATTCGGGAATTAGAAAACTTCCTTAAAACCTAATTACACTCCTTCTTCGAGTACAAAATATGAAGATGGCGTAATTCTCCATCAAACCATACGTTTGCTCGTGCTTTTTATAAAATATATTTGAATTTGTAAGACCATCGAAAATAAATATGAGAACTGCGTGCTACATAAGTGGTCTTTTTTTGCCGAGTACGGTTTATACAGGAGATTGAAAAGAAGTGCATTAAAAAGCAGACATCCTGCCGAGTCTGAAATATTATAGGATTATGCTACATGATAATATGTACTGGAACCCCTCCTAAGTAATCCTTCCTAATTGGAAACGCATTTCAGAATTTCGCCTAACATTTCATGAGATCGGTCACTCACTGTATTCAGGAACATGTTCATAGATGTTGACTGCAGATTGGACTAATCTCCCAAAAGGCATAGAACGAATATGATTTATTCTGACAGAATGAAATAAGACTATTGCAAGTCTCCCCTTGTGTATTAATTTACTCACATGCATGACAAGCTATGTGTTCAACACTGCAAGGGAGAAGAGAATGCAGTCTACTGAGCATGAATAGTGTTGTTGAGTGGCTGATGTTGTGTTAGATGGTTGACGCCCAGTTCCTCGCGTTTGCCGCCGTCTGTCTCGATGATCTGATATGTTTTACGTCGAAGAACCATTTGCCTTCTCCAAAACCCCAGCCGGTTTATACTGGGTACCGGTCTTCATCAAAGAGCATATCGACCTTCATTGGTGAAGTGTTTTGTGAGACGCACTACATGTAGGAATTTGGGTTTCTGTACGGTAGCAGCCAACTCGGATCGGCATCTAAGACCTTCCATGGATTTGTTCGAAGCCAAGAGTTTACAGTCCTGCATGACATTTTGGCCGTCGCGAAGAATAATGACTACCGTGTGTCCCATGGCATTGTCGGAGACTTGTACGTGAGTTGGCTTATGGCGATGACATAATTGCGCAGCTTCTGCCACACCCCCCCCCCCCAACCTATGTCCGGTGGTAGGAGAGACAGTCAAGCAGAGTATAGGCGAATAGAGCGCAGGTGGCTGCCACGCGCATGAAAAAGAGGTATTCCTGTGCACACGTTAATGCCTGTGTCTCATTCCTGATATAGACATCCTTCTAACGTGCCATTAATTGGCGACTCCATTGCGTCTGCAGAGAGAGTACTCCTGAACGAATCGCCCATACAACTGACGCCTTCTTAGAGATTCTACTTCAAGAGATAAATCCTGTCCAGCATATTTCGTCGATAGCGTCAGACACGGGTATAAGTACCCCTCCCAGTACTTTTTGCGGCCTTGCGCGGACTTTTAGAGGGGTACTTATTCCTGTCTCACAACAGTTCGACCGCCGTGTTCGACGATGTCCACCACAGCAGGGCGAAGCGGGCACGGTGGCTTACGCGTTAATCAGTTCATAGTTGGGGTTGACTTGCGATGCATTTACCGCACCCGCTCCTCCTAACCCACCTGGGTCCGGTCTCAAGCTATAGTCAAGGAGACCGGAGGACGGGGGAGAGCACAGGTGGCCAGCGCGACCGGACCCGCACCTAGACGTACCACTCCACACTCTCGGGTCCACAACAGACGCTTGACCAGGATTTTGACCTACAACGCCATAACAACACGTCAGAAGGACGAAGACGACCGGGAAGCCATGCGCACGGCCTGCATACCTAGAGGGAGCATAAGCGCAGCAGGGGAATCAGAGACTAGAGAACAGCTAACGCACACCAGGCTGTAAGTGCCACAGTTTGCTGAATAATGGCATAACGATCACGCTCACGATCCTTAAGGCACAGAAGGGTGACGCGGCCCGGCAATGAGTCCGAGTCAACAACCTTCAGAGGCGGGGTAACCCGTCAGTCATCGACTGGGAGGCACTACCCATTAAGTAACACACGCTCCTCACATGTGTGAGAGTGCCTGAGGTCACGTTCTGAAGGATCTGCGACAACCTGACCCCCAGTCCACTAGCCGGCAACCCCACACAAACACACAACTGGGCCGACTGCGTGGACTGAGCTGGAGGCTTCAGCCGGCAGCCTTCCTGGTCAGGGCGCTTGGCGCACCATAATAAGCCCAGACTCGGATCACACATGGAGACGGAACCGAAAAGCACACTTCCCGGTTGTGTGGGATGTGGCACTCGAGTGCTTGCTGTGGTTATATTATTGTGTAATACGTCCTAGACGTATCGACAAATGTATGTCATCAGTCCTGCTCAAATGGACTGCGTCGTCGTTGCATTCAACCCGTTCTCAGCGTCTTAACATGCGGAAATTGAGACAGGCGGTAGGACACACGCGAAATACTAGCGACGGCGTGGAAACCAACCATTAACGGGAAGACCTGATTGGTAGTTCCTTGTAGGGGATGTGGTTTAAGCATTAATGACACCGCATGGGAATTCACTTCCAGGTATTTTTGCAGGAGATTAAGCCCTCCTACTTCAGTTCTGAGAGGTTGGTTTAACAGTTTTGACTAATTCATGTTGACCCAACTGTGAAAAATTCGACGTCTCAATGAGATTCGAACCCACAACAGCAAGGTGAAGGCTTTAGTATAGTCAACGCTTTAGGCACCTGAGCTACGAGGCCCCACCGGACGACACGAGTTTAATCAATTTACCCGCCCAGCCCACTGCAACGTCTGGAATCCACCAAATCTGATACAGTAAGTTGACTGCCCAGGTAGGATTTCCTAAGTAATCCACCAGATGACCACCAGACTCACGTAATTGACAAAATCTGTCAAAACATCTATGAATTCTGACTGATGCTGATTTACCGCGTGGTGGCGCAGCACCCAATTTAACTAACAAGGTGATGATAGACTGTCGCGAAAACTCGGGTCACACATGCAGCAGAGGGGTCGAGGAGTACACTTCCTACCAGTGTGGTGATAGGTGACATTTTTGTGTGGGGCATGTGCTGGTGGGGAATGTGTGATGGTGTGGCGTGGCCTACGGTTGTCTACCACAGATTTTCCTGAATGCGCATGTGGCCTAGTAAGCCCATAAGATGGCTGAATGCGCGGGGACAGCGAGGATAGATAAGGCAGATGCGTGAGCGTTGGTTAGTGTTCCAGGCACTGGTTTGCCAGTCTGTGTACGATGAATTCGCAAGTGGCCGACTAGGCCGATGTGTGAGGTGAAGATGCGATCGCAATCAGGACAGGTATGAGCCGCGTCCACATCGCTGGCGATGGGAGTGTTGGTGGTGATAGTAGATGACGACGAGACGTCGGAAGTCGTCCCATCGGTGTGGGGGTGCGTGATGTCGTGGTGGTCGTTGTGATTGTAACAGGATCAAAAGGTCTAAAATCAAGACTGACTACCCCACCGGGCGTCAGATGATCAGTTAAGGCAAGAAGACGGTCAGTAGTATAATTCGTCAGGATTAAATAATTAAGTCACATATGCGCCAATGGGTGTGCAATAAATGCAGTCGTCAGGTTATGATCTGCCGAGCCTCGTTCCACTTCCTCCGAGGTGTCAAGCATGGTATACCACAACCAATAGGACAACAGATCCGCGGCTCAATGGTAAAGTGTCAAACCTCGTGATCAAAGATCCCGGGTTCGAATCCAAAGTGATCCACACTTGGGGTTGGGTACAACGGTCTGATGACGCCTAATAATCTGGAAATGCCCACCTTGGTCTCCCTTGTCTCTGTCGGTACCATCTCACTTGCATATCGCGCTTTCTATGTATGTGCTGCTAATTTTTTGAAGGTCAAAAGTCTGAAAGCGTGTGCTATGTCGGTAAAAGCAAACCATGGCCCTCACAGTCTGGTATGCGCTGGCAGTCCCCTGACACCTAGTTCCCTGCCGGCAGATGCGCTTGCGCTCCCGCTGGGTATACAGGTGGTGGACATGGCTGCCTAATCATCATTCTCGTCCTGCAGACCGCCGTTGGGGTGTTGTTGTTGTCGGCGAAAAGGCCTGGCCAAGTGAAAATTGTGGTCCAGTGTATGTTGTGGACCAGGGGGCATGGTGGCACGCCTAGGTGTGGGTCCGACCACGCCAATCACCTGCGCCCTCCCCCTCGCTTCCGGCCTCCTTAACTCTGTCGTCGCACCGGGTCCAGGTGGGGATTGGGGAGGTGAGAGTGCGGTAGATGCTGTGCAAGTCTACTATCACTATAAACTAATTCACGTGCAAGTCACCGTGTCTGCTGCACCTGGCTGTTTATCAAACGGTGGACGCCGTCGGAATCGACGGTAAAACTGTCGTTGTGGTCGACGCAGGTGTTGGGTCATCGCGGTTGGTGTCGGTGGGTGATGGTGGCGGGACAGCGGCAGTGTGATCGGCGGTGAGGTGGATAGCGGTCGGCTCGGGGTCTGCAGCAGGACCGACAGTGGGAGCGTTGTCGTTCAAAGGTGTCCCAGGAGTCCGAATAGCGCGCAAAATGCGCATTGGCAGCGCTGAATGTTGGTAGCGACCGACGGTTGGCATTGAGGAGGCAAACCATTTGTGACTTGCGAGCCTACCTTTTGATCCGGCTATGATCCGGTTTGTTTCGTAGATGGCGGCATCGGTCTTCACTTCTCTCCCCTGTGTCGGTCTGTTATGGGCGAGGTCCTCCCAGGTCCCGGGGTCGATTTGTAGCCGTTTCAGAGAGTCCTTCAAAGTGTTCTTGTTGCGCCGTTTGTGCCCTCCTTGCCGATGTGTACCCGTGACGACATGTGTCTTCCATCCTCACTAGATGACCGCTCCAACGTAGCTGCAGTTGACCCCAAAACGGCGTGAATGCTAACGATTCCGGTCCGTTCTAGGACTCACGTGTCGGGGATCCCGTCTTGCCATTTCATAACGCATAACCCATAAACCCACCCCCAACCCCCTCGGAATCTAACGCTAGGTTACCCACAATACGGGGTTCCTATTGCTGTGTCCTAGAATCAGCACATTCCACAGGCCAGACAACCGGATCCTGTTCTTCGAGGAGGTGGGGCTCCTTTAGTGGACGGATACAGTTACGGCGGTTGGGTGTGAGCGGTAGCCAGGATCATACAGCGCAGATGCTCCTGGAGAGATAGGTCAACAAACGATGGTAGACTTGGGTTTATGCCAACAGGTCGTCACCTCCCCCTTCCCCCCCTCCCCCCTATTATGTTCTGTATGCCTGCGGGAAGAGCAGGGGAACGACGAGGATGAAACCCGGCTGGGACAATCGCGCTTCCCGCCTTTCCGACCAATCAGCATGCAGACAGGTAGCTTCATGTATTGTCTGTCAGACTGGCGTTGACATTATTCAAAGATGCAGGACTGCGTCGCACTACTAGTTGACGAACGCTCCTTTTCCTCCGAAGATCACTTCTTTGCGAGATTGAAAATCTGACCCGGTACAGACCCGGGCTGCTATTGCCTTTAGACCTCGGTGATAGGTACAATATGTGACCTAACTCATGAAAGGTGTCGAAATTTGCGAATGATTCCTAATCACTCGCAAACCGACTCCGATTCATGGGTCCAATATCTATGTTAATTAAGTGCAACTTTGAAAGATTTAAAAACATAAAAGAAATACCAAGGGCCCTGTTGTGTTGCTTTGAAATGTCGTTTTTTAGGAAAGCGCAAAATCCCGAAAACTTCAAAAATGACTGCAATTTAGCAAACTTCATTTTTATATGCAAAGAATGTCTTCTTACGCAAAAAACGAGGTAAGTATAAAACTGCACATAAAATAACATTTAAAAATAGTGTTTTAATGAAGTTTGCATCTAAATATCCACTAAGAATCAGTATAATTTAATATATGGCGGTGTGTCAGCAACCTACATTCTGAGTATAGATTACAAAACAATTTTCCGGGGATTCGTGGCATTCTTAACTCGTCTGAGTTGATTGAGATGGGGTATGGCAAGTGAAATGGGATTTCGCTTAATTTCACCGATGGAGACGTCGTAGGAGCAAACGTTTTCATAAGGTCACATTCTGCCAGGTCGATCGGTAACTAATAAATTTAAATAGAACAGACAGGCGTGATCGTAAACATGCCATTCTATATTTATGAGAGAAAATTTCTTCCGTAAAATTAATTTGCACTTTTCGTTCATTTTGGATTACGTCGAGTTTCAGATCGGCCTTGAAATATCGCTGAATACTTCATGACTTTCCGCGTTTTCCCCGGTCGCCCATAATGGCAGATTCTATATCTGGTATCCGTTAAAAACTTCAAAATAAGATAATTCTTGGAGGTATTTACCGGGTTAGCGAGTGTTTGGGCGTTCGTTTTCATGAAGGATGTCGTTTGGGTCACATTTGAGGACTCATTCAAACATGAAACTCCATTTTCAAATATAATGGCTATCCACAACGAAAGTCAGCAACGAATGCCTTCGACCAATAAAAACTTTCTCTTTTAAGTTACCTCTTTAGAAAGTGCTTTAATACCGCCCTTCGTTGGCGGATCTCTGTGTACTTTCCATTTTTACACGGCGAGGCCAAGAAAAAATTTGACACTTTTGGCTGTTTCTTTCCCGCTCCTAAATAATACCAATATTTTTCTACCTTAAACGTAATAACATGCCTTTCTCAATATATTGCGGCCATTTCTAAATTTTTGCTCGCTTTTAGACTCCATTCTTCGATTATGAGTGCACGGCGGAGTGCCCACATAACTACTGATATTTTGCTGAAGCTATTAATTTTATGCTTCTTCCATTTTTGAATAATGCATTTGCAGAAGTTAGACTTCACGACAAGTAAATTTTCATATGTCTAAAACTGGAAATGACCATTTGATGGTGGTCATTTCCGTAACATCACATAAGATTTTTCAAACGGCAAAAGAATGTCAGCCCATTTAAACGAAGGATTCCCTTTGTGCGTTATTACTGCACTTCGGGGCATCAAATCGCAAAGAAATGCCAATATTACTTCTGAAAATCGATAAAACTTCTGGTTTCCTTGAAATAACCTTTGTGTAAGCAGGCTGATTACCTCCGGCAACCTCCGTTTATTAAAAATCTCGCAAGTAAGTTGCTCTCCTTTCAATTAAAAATCCGCTCAGATTCCCAACCGAAATCTAGGACAGATATTAGCAAAGGAAATTGCATGAATATAGCGCATGTTCATTTTCGTTAAAATTTATTAAATATTTTGTTTGATATAAGTACGTAAACACAATTTCTGCACAAGGAAAGGACATTTCCTTGAAGGGGCTGGACTGGCAAGCAAAATACGTAACGTGTAAGGACCCGATCAGCAATCGCATTTGCGTTTAGGCTTTCAAACTAAATGCAGTATAATTTTCGTGCAAGGAAAATCATTCCGTTCTCTACACCACTAAAATACGATCATATTTGAGTCATCGAATTTCGTAGTGAATGCGGAACATTAGTAAACCGACAGACACGATGTTTTACGGGCGGACATTTTACGGTCTTAAAACTCCCATAGCTACAAAATTCTTTTAAGACCATAACATACTTTTTCCTTGTTTATAACATTTGAAGAAAGCGTGAGTCGCTGTCAACTGAGTACATGAAAGAATATTTCGTGTGCGTCTTCTGTGAGATATATATGAATTAAAAGGAGCATTTAAAATCAATGAGCGAAAATTCACACAAATTAAATAGTCATTTGTTCATCAATCGTGGTTTTTGCTGGCAGTTGGGAGGTGGCTCATTCAGATGCAAGCACCCTGGTGTGACTGACATATTTTGTGGACTCTTCTGCGCGATGTCGGTGTCACAACCCACCAAAGCAATACTTCCTAATCAAAAACACGTTTTAGAGTCTCTATCAACATTTATTGAGACTTTTGCAGTCTTCGGACCAGCGCATAGGTGCATCGTTAGGGGGTTAAAGCAACGACATAACGGATAGCATTTACGGGACCCTCGGACTAAACAACGGCCGATACAGTTAGTTACGAAGGGATCCCTAGGGAGTTGTGCAGTCGATAGGTTTGATGACCAAGTTCAGTTTTTCCAGCCTTAATCTCCCCCTCCTCGAATAATCGTATTCACGGTCTAGACTGCTTATTGGAATGCTAGACCATCTCAGAGAGTTTGAACAGTCCATTGAGATTCGCGACAATGTGTGCAGAAACCGTATGGAATCCTCGTTTGCAATTTCAAAATTCTTCGTCAGTAAATGGAGTTTGTGGAATAACTATTGGAAAATATTGTACTCAAGTGCAACAAGCAAAAATTTTACCGACTGATAGCGTACTTAATTTTTGTGAAATTTTGCCAGTCCATGAATGTGTACAACAGTTAGTTCAGTTTGCTTGACGACTTGGCAATATTATCTGACAACTATTTCATCCCCGTAGGGCATTTCAAACTTTATCAACTGATATAACTTGCATTTTGGTGGGGTCCGTAGTAAGGTGCTTATAGGTCAATCCACCTTTTATCTCCGTATGATCTTTTCTGTTCAGTATCGCGATTAAACCGCGATTATGTGATGTCACACGTGTGAACTTCCACACAAGCATAAGGCTTCAGTATTCTGGGCATGCCTGTCCAAATGATCGACTGACTTTGTCAAACTGGAAGAACACTACTGTTAATCTAAAATCATAATTGAGTAATTTCGCCTAAACGTATGACGCTGCCTTGGTCATCCATCTAGCGACGCTAAATTAGTGGACTTCTACCAGGGCCGTCACGCCTCACGGAAGGTCTACCTCTCAGCGCGGCGGGCTCTGAGTGGACACGAACAATTACACGCGCTCGCTTTCTATTGGTTGTCAAACCGGCCACCGTCAGGGCGTTCGCTGGTTGGCTGACTGTCCTCCCCCCACCGCCACTGACGCTGAGGCCTCCATTGCAGCTTTCACCAACCGGATCAAGGCAAGGCATCACTTGTGATCTCAATCGAGCACAGATCACTTTTCGATCGAAATGGCAGCAGGAGACAGGTCTTCACCAGCCCGATGTCTTTTCACTGATGTTGCCAATTCCCCCAATGTCTCCAACAGGATTTCCCGTGAGCTCAAGGAGTTTTCTCTGGGAGAAGTTCGCCGCTTCCAGCAGCGTTACAATTTTGATCTGCTTGCAATGCAACCGCTTGGTTCAACACCTAGCCTTTCAGATGCGCGCACCGACAGATCCACTGGCGAAGATTCAATGACTACAGCAGACGCCACGCCTCGAGGTTTGCACTTACGGTGGAGTTGGGAGGCGCTGGATCCCAGTCAGAAGTACGTTCCTCGATTCTATCGCCGAATGACATACCCTGTCAACGTCAATTCATCACGGAATTCATCTGTGGAAAATATTCCACCAACACCGGTAAAGTCTGGAGAAAGAGGGATGCGTTCTCGGGAGGTAGAGAAGACGCTTCCTTCGGGGTGTGACCGCGTGGAGTCGCCCAAAATGCCGTCTTCCGGCAGCCGACAGACTTCCGTCCTGGCCTACTTTCCCCGTATTCGCAGGTCTGCAGCTGCCACATTGGTCAGCTGTGACGCAAAAAAGGACCAACCAACCCCCTCGGAGCCA